GTTTGGAGTTAATGGTGAATCTCTGACTACTCCACAGGGTGGAAAATCTCTGTGGGAACATCTTTCAGTGGATTGCATTCTGGTAGTAAAATGCATGAAGTACAGAGAGAAAGCCAAGCAGCAAAAGAGGCAGCAGGAAAGACATAAATAGCAGACAACATGGGGAAGATAACACAGAGTAGCCATTAGAAGCGATTGGTCAGGGAGGCCAAAAGAAGATGGTAGTAAATTTTTATTCTCCTCAATGGGCTATTTTGCAACGGTATTTTGTATCCTAAACAATTTGCTGAAAAAGCAGATACCACATTTTAATGTTCCATGTCAGTTATAGAAAACAATAACACGGGGAAAATAGTGTTCCCAAAGACAAGGTAATATCATCGCGTTTTTATTTGCTATATTTAAATTTTAAAGGGCCCAGCTGTTGAAATAAATTATGGTTAGATTAAATGCTTTTCTAAATGCCAAAGTGATAATGGCCTATTTCTATTTCTTCCTATTATGCCTCAGTTTGATAATGGAAATCTGGGCATGACAGGAATCTCATCAGACTTGTTTCTTTCATAAAAGATGTTACCCACAAGGACCCATTCATTCAACAAACACTTATTGAGCGGTAATCATGGGCATGTAAATAGTCTAGGAGGAGAGAGAAACACTAAAAAACAATAATACAGATCACCCTAAAATTATGATCATTTCAAATGCCATAAAGGAAAAGAAAAATTAGGGTGTTTCTCAGAACATGGTATAGAAGGACCCTATCTAGACAGGTGTGTATTGGGAGAGGAAGGAGGGTCGAGAGAAAGTCTCCCTGAGTAAGTTATGCTTGAGGAGACCAAGAATAGTGAGGAATTGGCAGAGTGAAGGCAGTGACGCAGAGTCAGGTGCACGTGACTGATCTTACTCTGTTCTTTATAATAACTGGTTTTGTGTCTATGAAGTTAGTACAAAAGAAGCTTAGTGCTGGGTGCATTGGCTCATGCTTGTAATCCCAGCACTTTGGGAGGCCCAGGTGGGTAAATGACGAGATCAAGAGATCAAGACCATCCTGGCCAACATGGTGAAACACCAACTCTACTAAAAATACAAAAATTAGCTGGGTGTGGTGGTGTGCGCCTGTAGTCCCAGCTACTTGGGAGGCTGAGGCAGGAGATTGCTTGAACCTGGGAGGCGGAGGTTGCAGTGAGCTGAGATGATGCCACTGCACTCCAGCCTGGAGACAGAGCAAGAAAAAAAAAAAAAAAGCAGTTTAATTATGTCTGGTGTGGCCACCTGGAGGAATGCAATGGAAATATAAAAACATTACAAAATGACAATAAGGTACTGGATTGACACAATGTGTGTCTTCTAAAATACCCTCTTTTATCCTGGCAAGCAAAGATGTGTGGTAGAATTACAGAAATAGAGGTGGACAGTTTGCCTACTTTTTGTCTTTGAAGCTGCTGGAAGAGGGATGAAGAGTCCATGAATTCGGAAGGGGCAGAAGGTAGCAATGAGGTAATCCTGATTGCTCTCCTTATGGTAGTGCAGTTACCACAGGCTAATGTGGACTTCTTGCTGGACAGATAGGTAATGCATAAAATGCCTTCTAAGGAGGCGGATATAAAAAAACTCAGATGGTAGACATAAAAAATCCACCTCTAAAGACATTCTGAGGAGAATTCAGCGCTGCTGTCAGAACAAGGGTTTTACATCTATGCAACTTAAAACTATGTGTTATGGATAATTTTAGATATTTATTTTTATTTCAATATGAGGAAGAGGAAACTCAAATGATGTTTTCTGTGCTGATGCTGGATTCTGTATATAGCCTCAGAGTAAGTCTGACATTAAAAGTAAAAATGAGTTAAAATCTCGTGGGTTTATTTATTTATTTTTTTTTGAAAACCAAACCAAACCAAACCAAAACAAAAAACAAACCAAAACCCCAAACTGTGTGGGAGGCAGTGCTCTGTCTGGGAGATTGGAGGGGAAAACTTTCAGAATGCTCACAGCCCACATTTTCACATGCCGTAAATTCTTGGGGAGGGAATTCTTTGGCAGCCTGACATATGTAATTTTCCTCAGAGCAGAAGACTTTATGTGAAAGATTTAAAATCATAATAAGATTTAAAGGTTTGCTCTTTAATTAAGAAAATGGCTAGATATTTTCCTATAGTTTCCTTTCAGAAAATAGGTTTCTTAATTATTTAATGCAGTGGTTACAGTAATGACAGAAAAGCACAGACTCATCACATACTCATTTAGGAACATGTGTGCTGGTTTAGGTGTGAACCCCAACTGGAAATATGCATAAAGTTATTCTATTTTTATTTGATTATGTGGATTAAATGATGAAATCTCACCAGGATAGTTCTTCTGTAAAAATCATGGCTAGATTGACAGTTCTCAAGTTCACATATCTCCACTTGAAATGGAAGTAACCAAAAGCAACAGTTCTTCTGTCAACTCTTGATTATTAGTGTGTAAATTATGCATGAATGTTACATTGACTGGCAAAGGTCAATAAGAACACTTCATTAGGGAGCCCAGGTGGTTGAGTTATACCAGCTCGATGGTGAAGGAGATATGAAAAGTTTAATAATGGTCATAGTTAATATTTATTGAGCATTCTCTATATGTCAGGCAATATTCTAAGTTGATTTCATGTTTTATCTCACTGACTCTTCAAAGTAACGCTTTGAAATCTGTGTTATTTTCATCCCCGTTTTACAAGTTAGTGAAAAGGAAAGTAGCAAAAATTATTCGAGGCTTGTAACTGTGCTCAGGCTAGCAAATCACACATGTGCTATGTGAGAAGGGCAAACATATTTTATGGATTCTTTTACTTTCAAGACATACCTAATTTAAAAAGGTAGCCTAATTTGTCCCCATTCAAGCACTTTTTTCTTAGTGAAACAAAATTTTGTGCTATTAGAAACTAAACTTTGTTGGTCAGTACTCGCAGAGCAGTCCCAGGGGGTTACTTTTGTTATCTTGTCTTGGCATCGTCAGTTTGTAAGCAAATAATTCTTTTCATTTTTCCTTTTCTTATCTCCCAAGGTGAGAAATTAGAAATAAATTTTTAAAAATCCCCTTACAGGTATATGGTATGCAGTAGCATGTCTCAAATGTATTCAACAGTCAACTCCCTCCGTCTTTCTGGGGAGAATTTTGTGCAGTAAATGTTTTCCAAAACACACTTCGATAAATGCTACTGTGTGTTTACTATAAGCATATTTTGCCTCCTTTTTGTCTTCCAATCACTATAGTCTGCATATTATCTTTAAAGTTTTCATAATTTTGAATCCCTGACCTCTTTTCAGATCATGGCTTCCCAACAATTGACATTACAGACAATTTCTGACTCCTCTTGGAATATTTTCCTTTTCTTTATACGTTTCCAGAACACCATTTCTTTCTGGTTTTCTTTCTGCTCCTATGTCTTCTCTTCTCAGTTTTCTTTATTAACTTGTCTTTCTCTAATTCTTAGATGTTAGTGTCCCCCAAGCTTCCATCCTTGACTCTCTTCTATCTCAATGTTATATTCCAGTTGCTTCATTAAACTGCCACACTCATTCTTAATTTATACCTTCCCCAATATCTTTAGCAATAATGAATTACTTTTCATTTTCTCTGCCAAAGGCACTTTATTTATCCATAGTGAAACGCATACCATATTGCAGATGTCTGCCTTCTAACTGGCCTCTTTGTCAAGATGTGACCAGCTCTGTTGTAGTTAATACTAGTTATCAGAAAAAAAGTTTACATCTCACTCATGCAAGAATCTGCTGCAGATCTAGGCAACTCTCAAGGACAACTGTCTGCTGGTCTGTTCAGTGAGTCAGAGATCTAGGCAACCTCAAATGTGACACTCTGCCTTCTCAATACAAGGACTGTTTTCAGATTTCCATGGCAGAAGAGAGGCAGAGTAGAAACTGAGTAGGGGCTTCTACTGCCTGAGCGTGAAGTGACACAGACGTGTGCTATTCACATTTCATTGAACAGAACTAATGATAGGGTTTTGCCTTTTGACAGTAAGATTGGAAGTTTAGTTATACATGTGCCCAGGAAAGAAAGAACTATTGTTGAAAATCTTATCACAGGGGTTGTATCATAAATATATCCCCGGTACTTGGCACAGAGTTTAACAATAGATGTTCAATAAATGTTTCATCAATTGAATCTAATCTAGTTGAAACTTGAGTCATTTTACTGATGGAGGAACTAAAGCCCTCCAAAGAAAAGTGACTTTCCTCAAATTATTCAGATATTTGCACAGCTAGAGCAAGAATCTGGGTCTTTTTGCTTCTAGGTTCAGGGGTTCAGGGGTGCCCTCAGCTCCCCTGAGAGGATGTTTCTCCAGCTTCTTGGTCTCCTGCTATCTCAAGAATGAGAGAGGGGACCACGGCCCAATGCACTTGTGAGATAAATACCAGACCCCAAAAGTGTTTGCAGAAAGTGATTTATTTAGAGAGAGAAAGAGAGAAACAGGAGAAGAAGATAGAAAGCTTCCCCACTGGATGGAAGGGGATCCCAGAGTGGGAAAATCCAGGAGGGGAAAGAGAGCTCCCAGTATGTGGGAGGGGATTCCAGAGAACTGGAAATCTGGTGTGGGTGAAGGAGCAGGGGAATTTATCCTGAGAGAAATTCCCACCTCCTCAAGTTCCCCTGGCCAATGAAAGGAGTTCCTTTAAGCTTCCACTCCGATCAGTGATCTTTAGCTTCTTCCTGCGCCCGCAAAATTCAAACATAAACTGTTAAATTTCCTGGATGAAGACGGATGGGAGGGGGAGAAAACATGGCGCTGGGAAGTTCTTGCCCTAGAAACGACGCCCTTTGTGGACCAAGAAAGAGAACACCTTCCCTCATTTTGTTCTTTTTACTATATCAGATATTCATGGAAGAGTTTGTTCTATCAGAATTGTATGATTTTGTTGGGTTGCCCATTATTACCATTAAGGCTATGAGTTTTGTTTGCTGGTATTTGTTAGCTTGCTTTACATTTTTGCTTACACAGTTAACAGAGATATGGCATGAGCATATATTGGAAAAATGATTCACATAACAATAGAAAAAGTAAGTGTAATTACCAGCTTCTTGGCAGGCAGCATCAATAATTCTTTTTCGGTTCCTAAATAGCCCACATAATATTGTCTCATATTGACCAATATTGTCTCATTTGCTAGATGGTGTTTAGTTGCATAGCAAATAATTTTACTGATAGAAAATTAAAGGAAGATTGAAAAAAAAAAAAAACCCACAAAGTATTATCACCCATTCTTACTACGTTTTTTTTGGTGAGTTGGGGTCTTGCTCTGTCACCCAGGCTGGAGTACAATAGCACGATCTCGGCTCATTGCAACATCTGCCTCCCAGGTTCAAGTGATTTCCCTGCCTCAGCCTCCTGATTAGCTGGGATTATAGGTATGTTCTTCGACGCCCAGCTAATTTTTTGTATTTTTAGTAGAGATGGAGTTTCTCCAGTTTGGCCTGGCTGGTCTTAAACTCTTGACCTCAGGTGATCCACCCGCCTCGGCCTCCTTCAGTGCTGGGATTACAGGGGTGAGCCACCATGCCCACCCCGCATTCTTACTTCTTATTTCCTTACTGTAGTTTTTGGAATGGTTAATTCTGTGTATTTGCTTAGCAATTTGTGGCTCTATTTTCCCATTTTACCCTTACTAACTTTTTAAGTAGTAGGTAGGGATTCTCTTAGTGCTGTCTGTGGAAATATTGCAGTCCTATGGCTACTATAATATCTTTTTTGGAAACCTTATTTATTTGCTTATTTGCTTACTACCTCAGGGTTCTCCTCAAAACTCCATTGAGGTTCTTTCTTAAGGTGTACCTCTACAGGTAATATTCCACTTGAACATATAAACTTTAATGTAATATTTCTAAAATAAACTCTTGATCTTCTTCCCTGCTCTAAAGCTTCCTCAAACAAATAAACAAACTGGCAGAGACTGTTACCTGTAGCATGTGGCTAATTTCTAGTCGGAGAATATGAACAGGACTTATGGGTATTTCTTCTCTGTTTGGCCTATGTCATTTTTCTGGCCAACAAACAAACAAATAAGCCAAATACAACAATAAAGATTAAAAAACAAAACAAAAAAAATAATAAAAAACCCTTCCTAGTTTCCGCTTGGCTGGAGCAGACGGTGCCAAGCTTGGAAGCCATATTGTTGAAAGTGGCAGAGCGTTTTATCAACTTGACTTCTTCAAGGACTATGGGGAAAGAGTCCTATGACTCTCCTAGACTGTTCAGAGAGCAAGAAATAAACTTATTCAATGTTGAGTCATTGTTTGAGCCTATTGTACCTCAGAATATTTTGATACAGAAACCTTAGTTTGTATATCTGTGAAATGGGAATAACAACTACCTTACTTTGAGAGCTAAATGAGAAAATATAAATAAATAAAGCACTTACTTTAACGCATGACTCATAAAATGGATATGACAAATTTTAGTCTATTCCCTTCCTTCCTTCTTCATATAGATATGATAAAATACAATCCTTTTAATTCCATTCAGAAACTTCTGAATCCACGACTCCTCTTTCTTGACAGAGAGATAGTGGTTATGAGATTGAAACTCTGTAAATTTCCCACTGCCAAATCTACACATAGACACAGATCTAAATCCACATTCTCTTCCCTTTCTCCTGTTCCAGTACTATTCTTTCTGCTGTTTCATATTAGCCAGTATTTATTTAAGTGATTAGCACATGCCAGGTAACATGCAAAGCTCTGCATGGATTATACAATTAGATCTCATGATGTAGGCATTGTTTCATGTCCCCATATTTCAGATTAAATAACTGGAAGTAGAAAAATTAAGCTGTTTGCTCAAAAAGCAAGTATATTTTCAAACTCATTCTGTTTTCGCCTTTTACCTGCATCTAAACATGCACATATCCCTACAACCTTGAGAAAAACCATTCTGTGAAACTTGACTTCCTTCTTCATTATCTTCATTTTCTCTCAACTTCCTTGCCCTCACTCTTCAACCCTTTGCCCTCACCACTCCAATGAAATGTCTTTATTTTCTAGTAACATATCTAGTGGAGCCCTCCTGGTATTGATTATCATTCAGCCTTTCTGAAATATTTACTTCTGTTGACCACTCTCTCTCCCCCAAAACACTAGAGGAGAGTTCTCTACACACCACTCTACTTTTCTACCCACTCTTCCTCAGTCTAACTCAGGGGACTCTTTCTTCTAATGGCTCCTTGAATGCTAGTGTTCTTCAGGGTTTTATCCCTAAACTTTTCTTTCTTTTTTTAGATTAAATATTCTGCTTACAATATCATTTACCCCATAGTTTCAATTGCGATATATGCTACTCATTCCTAGTTTTAAAAAATCTCATCTACACATCTCTTTTGAATTCCATATTCATTTCATCAATTTCAAGTTGAGATTCTAAATTTAGATCCCATTAAAGCACCTCAAATTGAGCATATCTAAAACTGAACTTACAATCTCTCTCTTTCTCTAAAATCTTTCCTTCTAACATTTCTCCCTCTGAACTCTGTCTCAGGAATTTGTCTATTTGTCCAAATTGGAAATTGCACATCATCTTGGGATCTGCTTCTTCATTCATCCCCTAAACAAAGTCAAGTTCTAAGTCTTGTCAATTAATGTGAAATCTTATTTCCTAAATATGCCTCCTAAATGTATGTGGTAGGCATTTGTTTTTCAATCATCATTTACTACCAATTGCCATTATCCATGCCTTCTGTGCATCAGAAGCTGATGCAACATTATTTTCCATTCTCAGAAAACAGCATGCCCTTTCATGCTTTGAGAAGTGACGTGTCTCTTTCTTCCTTTTCTAGTTGGAAAACTCTTTTTGATAATCAGCTATGTTACTATTACCAGTGTGAATCTTGGGAAGTGTTTCCTGAGGTCAAGCTGGCTGCTCACCTACTTTCCCTCCTATGCTGCTGTAGAGCTCTGCACCTGCCTCCTTTCTAATATTTATAAAGAGTTTCTAAATCTTTGCCTATTCATTTCTCCTTCTAGACTGTGAGAGCCTTGAGAAAGGAAAGCCTGTTTTTATGGCAGTGAATTGGATCCTTCCCAATTTGAAAATATATCTGCTAAAGGACCAGGACACCAAATGGTCATTTGCCAAATGATCAGATTCACCAGATTTACCAAATTTCTCAATTCATCCCAAATAGTTGTAATAGTTAAAATGATTAGGATGTTTAAATTTGGTCCCCAATGATGAAATATGATTTTCTGGATATTAACTTTTTAAGGTTAAAACGTGAGAAGCTGGCAAAAAAAATCTACAAATGCTAAAGAATCAGTATTGATTTTTAAAATTTCTCAAAGGAAAAGCTGTTTTTCAGCTTTTTTTTTTTTTTGGAGGGGGTTATTTTATATGTAATGGGACTGCTTGTCTACCTCAGATATCGTTTCAGTTATCTCTGAATGTCATTTTCTATTTTGGTAAACCTTATGCATTTTCCTTATTCTTCTGCCATTTCCTCAAATGGTATACCAGCTTTCCTTTTATATCTCTAGTATTTATAGTTTAAGATTAAATTAAACATTAATTAGGAGATTGAACTTTAAATTTAAATTCACAGGCACTAAAATAAATCAGAATTTTAAGTTAAGGTTTAATGAAAGAAAAATTTTAAATTAAATAAAATTTAGAATTAAAATTTAAATTCATTCAAAAAAATCAGAATTAGTTTAAACCATTACATTTCACATGAAACTAAAAGTATGATTTCTATCAAGAAACAATTAAGGTATCTTGACTTGGTTGGTAGTAATTTGCAAAATGACTCTCTATGAAAGCACACACACACCAAAATAACCACAATGGACCAAATGAAGAAGATGCAAAAACTGGATAAAACATAAATAGATTAAAAATACTATAAATAAAAACAGACAAATGCTAAAAGGTTGGCTCAGTACAAAATTATATTTTAAAAGGAATAAAAATCAGTATAAATGAGTAATTTCTACATGACATTTAATTTTACCTATAACAATGTTTTACATTGTCATGAAATCAATATATTTCTCTTAAAATTTATAAAATTATTTTTATTAAATCACTATGTTTGATGGGTTGATTTTCAGGGAATAAGCCATGTGGTGAATTGATTTTTAGTGATATTTCCTTGCTCATTTGCCACCAGCAAATTTCCCAAACTCCCAACTTCTCTAATTTCCGTAACTTCTGTGAAATTGAAGTTTTTCTTCCCCTTTAGATTCTCAGCAGTGTTAAGTGATGGCCGTTTATTCTTTTATAATTGAGGTTTCTTAAGCTTTTCTGGCTGGACGTTTTTCTTTCCCCCTAGACCTGGCCCATGTCTCCATGGGCATAGCCTGCATCTGCTCTCAGAGGTCTCAGAAACTCTTCAAATTCAGTGTTTCCAAGACTGAATGTAGGCATATTATTCTCTTCTATTCCCCGCCATCCCAACTCTCCAAACTTGTTCTTTAGAATTCTTTCTCTCTCTCTTTTTTTCTTGAGACAGAGTGTTGTTCTGTTGCCCAGGTTGGAGTACATTGGTGAGATCTCGGCTCATTGCAACCTCCACCTCCAGGTTCAAGCTATTCTCCTCCCTCAGCCTCCCAAGTAGCTGGGACTACAGGTGTGTGCCACCACACCTGGCTGATTTTTGTACTTTTAGTGGAGATGGGGGTTTCACCATATTGGCCAGGCTGGTCTCAAACTCCTGATCTCAAATGATCCACCCACTTCAGCCTCCTAAAGTGCTGGGATTACAGACGTGAGCCATGAAATTCTCTTTTTCTCTATTTTAGGATATGGTCACCATCCATCCAGTAGCATAAACCAGAAACAAGGAACGAACCTGTCACTGCTTATTCTAGACATTTTTAAGATGCCCGTTCATTTCAATTACCCTGGTTCTAGTCCAAGCTACCATTATTTTTTGTTGAAACCCCATAATAGTCTATTGTGTACATTATAGAATTGTGAGCATTATTTTTTTAAACTTAAAAGCTTAGAACAAAGGCTTGCACCTAGTAAGCATTCACACTACATGTATGAATGGACACTGTATTAGTCCGTTTTCATACTGCTGTTAAAGACATACCTAAGATTGGGAAATTTACAAAGAATAGAAGTTTAATGGAGAGCTCACAGTTCCACGTGGTTGGGGAAGCCTCACAATTATGGCAGAGGCAAGTAGGAGCAAGTCACATCTTACATGGATGGCAGCCATCCATACCACTTCCATGTGATTTGCTTTCATACCTTCTAGCGTGTCCCTCCTCTTGCCCATCTCAGCACCCTGAGACTCTTTTTCCCTCTTGTTCTTCTTTCTTTGTTAAAAATAGACTTTTTTTTTTTTAGAGCAGCTTTTGGTTCACAGAAAAATTGAGCAGAAAGTACAGGCAATTCCCATATACTCTCTAGCCTCATATATTCACAGCCTCTTTCACTCTTTCCTTTGTTTTAGCCTCCCATGCTAGATCTATTTTTTTATTATTAGATATAATAAATATGTTAATATTCATACAATATTATTAATATACTAAATATATGTAAGACAACTGTATTTTCTTCCTTCACATATTACTTTGAGATTAAAATTTTTTATTGTGATTATCTATAGTGTGTCTTCTTTTCCTCATGAAGCATAGAGTTCATGAGGGCAAGGACTGTACTGACTATTTTTCTCTGAGCTCTAATCAAGTGGCCATCATATAGAAGGTCTTCAATATATATTCATCATTGTGGTTGAATGACATATGTAATATAATTCTACATAGTTTCTGGGTGAAACATATTTCTATGTAATTACCATTAGAACTCTTAGAAGATCTAAAGTAAAAATTAACCATAATTTTGTTATTTGTTTCTGTCTCAGACTAATTTAGCATTTCAAATTTATAACTATTCTGGTCCAATAGCTCTTAAAATTTAACCACAGATATTATATTAAGTATACTCACACCAATGGAAGTATTTATTCTGTTACATGTTAAATATAATAATTTACTTCTATTTTTACATTTTCTTATGTCTGTTTTCAAACCTGAAGTGTTGGATTTCCTTCTGCAAAAATTTGCTTACCTTACTTGAGAGGCACATACCACCACAAGGGGGCAGAGATAGACAAATATTCAGTTCTTTCGACTGCATTCTGTATCCTGAGAATATTCTTTGACAGAATAAATTTGAGCCATTATTTTTTCCACTAGTTTCTTTTTTCATTTGCCATTCAATTTAAAATCAAAAAGTACTATTATGCTCTTTATACGGTGTATGCCTTTTCAAAGATGAACAGACCTCCACTATATAAATTGTAGGCATTATATAACTTATCTCTTTAGTACATTAAGTAATTTTACAGTTATAAGAATGATATGCTAGACATTGCAGTAAATTGTTCACTGGTAATTTCATAGCTAGTTTCTACTGTCTTATCTTTAGCCTACACCCACATACACACACACATACATAGATATGCTGGTAAGGGGAAAGGAGATTTTCTTTCTTATTTTTTTTTCATAATCATTCAGGGAATAGTTAGGTATTTATGTCACTGAAACTATAAACATTTGAAGAGAACAGACTTTTAGAGTATAGTTTTATTATTCTATCTTTTATGCACTAAATACATATTCATCTTTACTTGGAGTAAGAAAAACACATGCTGAGCTATATGTGTCTATCTTAACATAGTTCTCATAAACAGCTTGGGTAAGACTTTATGTCAGCAATCTAATTACATAACTGACCTTGTTTTATTGGTTATTCTAAAATTTAGTTCTCTGTAAATGTATAGCCCATCCAATTTAGAGTTGAATTTTAAGGACATTAACTTTAATGATAATGAGATAATTTACGTGTGAACAGATGCCTTGGTTAGAAGGAAGTTTAGAGGAGAAAGAGAGCTTTTTATTATAGAAAAACCAATAGCAGAAAGAATGTGATTTTGATTCAGATTAGGAATCACCAAAGATTGGTAACAACACAAGTAGTTCACAGACAATTCATCTAAACTTGATGCTGAGCATTCAAGGTCATCCATAGACTGGGTCCACACATCCTTGCTGGTCCTTTTATCTTATCTCCACCCACCCTGAATTCTATCCACCTGGATCACTTGCCTTACTGGTAACAAGTCACACTTTTCCATGCTTCTATGTCTTGGCCCTTGCCTGCTTTCCTAATCTGGAATAACACCTCTCCACATCCCCCTTGAGTTTTCCCCCAGGTAATGTAAATTACTGAGCATATCTGTCGTACTCTAATTTCTTGAGGTCATGGAAGATAATACTAACAGACCACAATATTTTCTCCAATCTTACTAAATGTAGCCTCAGTATCCTTCTCAGTACAGCTTCTAAGAATAACTCAGATACCTATACCAATTAATTACTGATGGTTTATATGATAGTTGCCATCTTGGTGTGACTTAGCCCAAATTGGTGGCTAGTTAAGTGAGACCAGGATTGGGTGGCTTTGATGAATGTAATTTCGACTTGAACATGAAGATGCTTGTAGAACAGTGTTCCTTCCTCTGAGCATGGCTATAGAAGAACAAATCAGTTAGTCTGAAGGTAAGAATATAAAGCAACTTAAAATGTTATATGATTTTATTTATCTAAGTCAAACTGAATTATTATATTCATCCATAAGCACCATAGAAGGGTCATGTTTATTTTGTTTATCACCATATCCCCAGCATTTAGCCAAGGGTGTGATATATATCAGGTACTCAATAATATTTGCTGGTTGAATGAACTAATAGTGACTAATGGAAAATATTGTATTTCACGCCACACCTTTTCTCCTTTAAATGAGGTAGATTTGCACTCTAAGCTGGTCACTGCTCTGGAGAAAGTGTTCCCAGAGAAGCGAAAGGGAAAGGTTTTTGAAGGTCAATACATAACCTTTTTGAAGGTAGCAACAGAAAGATACCAGCAGTAAAAGTTGGGAAACCCCTGTGAGTGCTTTATCTATTCTGCTTCATTTCTAAGTATCAAAGAATCATATAATTTAAGGAGTTTGGAACAAAGAGAGATTTATCCTGAGTCAATATGGATTCTATTAAATGGGACCTAAAGTATTAGGCATCAGCACTGTTCTGAGACCCAATCTTTGGGAAGGTTTAGTTCACTCTTAAATTTTTGAGAGGAAATATTTGAAAATCTTCCAAGAACATTTAATGTGATTTACATTTCTAAAGGTCGGTTAAGTCCCACATTAATTCCTCTTATACACTGGTTTCCTAAACTGAGAATAGAAAACTGAAAACTTATTATTCATATGACCGCAGGAAAGATGAGCAACTTTAGGTTTAAAAACTTGAGTTGTAGAAGTCAATGGCCTCTGGACCATCTGTCTCATTTTAAAAAATGTAACTTTTATTTTAGATACAGGGGGTACATGTGCAGGTCCGTTATGTGTGTATATTGCACTCAAGTCATAAGCATGGTACCCAATAGGTAGTTTTTCAATCTATGACAACCTCTGTCCCTCCCCTCTTTAGTAGTCCATAGTTTGTTATTCCCTTGTTTATGTCTATGTGTGCTCAATGCTTTGTTCCCACGTGTAAGTGAGAACATGTAGTATTTGGTTTTCTGTTACTGCATTAGTTCATTTAGGTTTTGGCTTCTAGCTCCATCCATGGTGCTGCAAAGGACATGATTTCATTCCTTTTTATGGCTGTATAGTATTCCATGATGTATAATGTACATTTTCTTCATCCAATCCACCACTGTGGGACACCTAGGTTGATCCTATGTCTTTGTTATTGTGAACAGTGCATTGATGAACATGTGAATGTATATGTCTTTTTGGCATGATGATCTATTTTCCTTTGGGTATATATACCTCAGTAATGAGATTGCTGGGTTTAATGGTAACTCTGTTTTAACAGCTACCATAAGCTCTTTGAGAAATATCTAAACTGCTTTCCACAATGGCTGAAATAATCTACAATTCAACCAGTAGTATAAACATTCCTTTTTCTCCACAAACTCACTAGCATCTGTTGTTTTTTGACTTTTTGATAATAGACATTTTGACTGGTATGAGATGGTAGCTCATTGTGGTTTTGATTTACACTTCTCTGATGATTAGTGATAATAAGCATTTTTTTCACATGTTTGTTGGCCACTTGTATGTCTTCTATTGAGAAGTGTCTGTATATGTCCTTCATCCTTTTTTTAAAAAATGGTGTTATTTGACATTTTCTTAAGTTCCTTATAGATTATGGATTTTAGACTGTTGTTGGATGCATACTTTGCATATATATTCTCCCATTCTGTAGGTTGTCTGTTTTTGCTATTGACAATTTATTTTGCTGTTCAGAATCTCTTAACTGGATTTCACCTGTAATTTTTTGTTTTTATTGCAATTGCTTTTGGTAACTTAGCCAAAAATTATTTGCCAAGACTAATGCTCAGAAGGGTATTTCCTAGGTTTTCTTTTAGGATTTTTATAGTTTGATGTCTTACATTTAAATCTTTAATCCATCTGTAGTTAATTTTTGTATATAGTAAAAGGTGAAGGTCAAATTTCATTCTTCTACATGTGGCTAACCAGTTATTTCATCACTATTTATTGAATAAGGAGGACTTTTCCCATTGCTTGTTTTTGTTTGCCTCATTAAAAGTCAGATGGCTGTAAACGTATGGCTTTGCTTCTAAGTTTTCTATTCTGTTCCATTGGTTTAAGTGTCTATTTTTGTACCAATGCTGTTCTAGGTTATTTTATCATTTTAGTATTGTTTGAAGTCAAGCAGTGTGATGCCTCTGGCTTTGTACATTTTGCTTAGGATTGCTTTGGCTATTGAGGCTTTTATTTGGTTCCATATGGATTTTAGAATAGCTTTTTCTAGTTCTATTAAAAATGATATTGGTAATTTGATAAGAATAGTGTTGAATCTGTAAATCTCTCTCCAGTGTTGTTTTGTGCAATATTACCATTTTAATGACATTGATATTTTTAATCCATGAGCATGACATGTTTTTCCATTTATTCGTATCATCTGATTTCTATCAGCAGTGGTTTGTAGTTCTCCTTATGGAGAACTTTCACCTCCTTGGTTGGCTGTATTCCTAGGTATTTCATTTTCTTTGTGGTTACTATAAATGTGATCATGTTTTTGATTTGACTTACAATCTGGATATTACTGGTGTATGGATATGCTACGTGAATTTTGTGCTCTGAAATTGTACTAAAATCATTTACCAGTTCTAGTATATTTTTGGCAGAATCTTTAGGGTTTTCTAGATATAGAATCATACCATCAATGAAGAGAGATAGTTGACTTTTTCTTTTTCCAGTGAATGCTGTTTATTTCTTTCTCTTGCCTGATTACTCTGCCTAGAGCTTCCTGTCTCATTTGTTGATGCATTAAGGGAAAAGTAACTAAATGCTTCAGAGCAAAGTAATAGCATATATTAGCAAATTCCTTAGATTTGTCTTTTCTAGAGCTGTCCAAACAGAACTTTTGCCATGATGACAATGTTCTGTATTTATTTTATCCTATATAATAGCCACTGGCTACACATGGCCACTGGGCACTTGAAAATGTGGCTAATACAATGGAGGAACTGAATTTCTATATGTTATTTAAAATAAGCAGTTACAATTTATATTTAAATGGCCACATGTGCCTACTGGCTACTGTATTAGAGTGCAGGTCGAAAGGAATATATGCTTAATTAAAAAGCAGTTTTTAAATTAAAATTTAAAAAAATTAAAATTATAATTTTTGAGATGAGCTGTTGATAATGTCAACAAATTAGATATCAGGCTGAAAGCAGAAGAAGAAAGTCGAGTTGTAGTATGGGAATTTTAAAAGGCAGCAAGCTTAGCACTTACCATGTGTTAGACCCTGTGCTAGACCCATTCACATTTATCATCTCAGCGAATGCTCATAAAAACTCTGCAAGTAAATATTTATCTCCACTTTGTAAGCAAGAAGTCAGATATTACAATTTCCTCTGTGAAAACAAGATTAGAACATATACCCATCTGGTTTAAAAAGCCATACTGTACATTTTGAGTGGGCAAAAGAAAAATATCCAGGTACAATTATGAATGTGCATCTTAGGAGGTGAGGTCAGGCCTGGAGTGAGTGTCACATCCAAATATTGCTCAGAAATTTCTTTAATTCTTCATTGCTGAGGCTAGGCTTGGTTTCTGATGATGTAATTAATAGTCCTGAAGCTAAAGGTGGGATCATGTGGTCCAAGTTGGGTAGAAGAAGGTGAGTTTGGAGACCAGCCAATGAAAGAGAGCACTGATGTTCTGGGTGACCATCACTCTCACAGACATTGCCTCCCAGGCACCTGAGCAACAATTGCTGGCCTTGCTGTTTCCATTAGAGGGGCTGACTTATGACAGCATTCTCAGCTATAATTTTATGCTTGGATACTTTGATGTTATTTTTCTCTCCAATAATGCTCTGTGACCTGATTTTCCCCTCATTTGTCAGATAGCTTATGTGATGTGGCATTCACTTGGTAATTGCAATTCAGGGGCATTTCCCTGCAGTAATGTGAAGAGAAACAGCTTCTGTAACACCAGAAAGCATGCTTCCTTATCATAAGGTGAATGGAGATACGCTGCCACGTGTTGACTGTGTCATTAGATCTAATGCTAATGCATGCATATGTCTTGCTGAGTCTTTCAATAACCTGTATTTGATATCCTTAGAATAAAAAGATATCAGCATTTTTCCTGGCTGGTCATTGGAGTTCATGCTACAAACTAATGATACTTCGCTAGCTCAACTATTAAGTGAAGGAGTCTGCTTACCAAAGGCTGAATATCTTGGCTTAAGAACTTGGCTCTCCCAATGATTGAAATGAATTAGATACGAATGATGGCCTGGGTATCTATATTGGGCTAGCCTTGTGTCTTGCTATCCTGGGATTCTTTTAGAACTAGAAATATAATACCAGAATTCTTTGATAAAGATTCAAATTCTGAGACAAAGCAATCTGATTCAGCCAGTTTAGGACTGGGGATAAGCCTCATTTAAAATGGGGCATGAGTGGTCAGAGGTATCTGTGACAGCCAAGTATGAGTCTGTTGCAAGATGAGGAACCTTTTAACAGATGAACAGTCCATGGAAGTGGTGGTCTAGGAGGCAGCATGCTAGCCAGAAATCCATTTCTGGAATGAAACGGATTTCTGAAGTGAAGATAAAATGATGCTTCAATCTTCAGGACCAAAGCAGGAGGGGAGCTGGAGAAGGAATACAGAATCAGAAACAAGATTGTTACAAGGTGGTTAGGGGGCAAATTGCTTGAATTGCAGCCTGCTTACATTTGAGCAAATGTGCTTCCTGGAGCTGGGGGCTTGCTCTTTAAAAGAGACAGTCCTGTAGGACAGGTAACTTGCCAAAGTCCAGATTGACTTCAGTGCTGGGAGGTATAGATACATTTTGCAAAATCCAAATGTCCAAGCTGAAAAAGAGCCCGGTTCCCAGGAAATGATTTTTCTTTATTTGATATTCTCAAGCATCAACCATGTATTAGACAATATGTAGCTTTAGAGAGTTGCATGAAATTTCTGTGAGTACAGCAAAATTCCTGGGTGTCTCCAAAAATAAGAAGAAATCTAGCTGAAAATCATTTTCTCTCCCCCTCTTCCCTTTATAAAGAAGGCTAATAAATCTCTCACTTTTCAAAATGTATCTCAGCTTTGGAATGGAGAAGTGAAACGTTTTTCTATTCAAAAGGAAGGCTATCTAAACACTGTAGTGTGTGATTCTATTAAAGCCTGCTTGATTTAAACTCTGAGTGTACCTAAAACTCTCAATTCTACTTCACATGTGGCAAAAGGTCAAATACAGTCTTGCTCTACCTTCCAATCATTTACACTCCCTGTCTACCTTACAGGGGAAGACAGACTATTATTAGTCTGTGGAAAAGGCATACTGGGATTCATGTAATATAGAGAGATATTTTTCTCTTATTTTTTGCCAAGACGATGGTGGTGGTGTCTGCAGTACACAGCTGACATAGAGCTGAAGCTAGATGTGGTCCTATAATAGGCAGGACAAGAAGCAGAAAGGCTGCTCTTCTTGTCCATAAATATCAGCTCACATTTCTGTTTCTCCTTTTCTATAAAATTCTCTATACATGTATGAAGGCGTGTCAACACATGCAAATACATGTAAAATACATAATAGGGTTGTGAGTTAATTCAAATTCATTCATTCTTTCAATATACATGTATGTTGGGCACATTATATGAGCAAGTGCTGCCACATGAATTGTCTCTAGACATTCATTTGCTTATTTTTCTGTTCCTTCTTAGTTTAAGCAGATAACTTTTGTTTTTCGCTTCAAAGATGTTTGCAGAATGGAAGGTGGAAACTTTTTGAAAGCAAACTTTCTGCTATTCCAAAAGATTGTACTCACTGCAAGTGGAGAAGTGAGGACAGGAGTGTCATCTTCAGAGTCACCAAGTCAGGTTGGAGATGCCTCAGACTGGGGTGGGGGCAGAGGCTGCTGGGTCCACAAGTAGAATAGCCCTGCCCTTGGCAGCATCCTTGGGCAATGGCAAACTAGAAATGCACCCAAAGAGGCTGCTCCCAAATCATGGAGTTCCCACTCCCAGTAAACATTCCCAGACCCCAAGCATTGTACAGAGCTGACAGGGGATAGGAAAGCCCATGTGAGAATGAAAAACGGGCTTCTCTGATGTAAGCAGTGAGAACCACAAACAGGATGGACCTCGCAGTGCGTGCTTTAGGACAGAATAAGGTACACCACTCAGATTTTTCATGACACTAAGTAAATGGGAGGGTGGAGCCCAGTAATCACTGGGATTAAAACTCTCTTGAGATTGGTGGGATTTAGATTTAAACTGATTAAGCAGGGATTAGATTTAAGATAATTTTGAAAAAAAAAAAGTGCCTTATTTCTTACACATCTGGATTGGTGGATTAAATTTACTTGCTATCCTTATAGCAAGGAACACAAATATTAAACAAATAACTACCATTGTGAATTGACCTATAAAGGAATAATTGTGGGTACTTTGGAAGCAGAACTGTGGAGCCTAATTAAAACTATGTTTATGAGTAGAATGGATGGGGAGGAAATTATTCTCTGAACGAATAACATTTTAGCTGTTATCTATTGGATAAATTAAAGTTAGTTAGCTTAGTTGAAATTAAAGGGTGATCCAGGCAATGAACAATGGGTGGAAATATCCAGAGGTGGCAAAGAACTTGGGTGGCCAAGACATGAGAGCAAGGGGATAAATGACTGGTCAGACAGAGGCAAAGAGGAGGCTGGGTTCAGGTCACACCAGACCTACCAGCTCACATTAGACAGTGATCATAAGTGATGGAGAAAACCATGAAAGGATTTTAAGTAAAGAGTGAAATAAAAGATTTGAGATTTCCTAAGATGAACTTTTCTTGCAGGTTAGAGAATAAATTAGGCAAGTGACAAAGAGGATTTAGAGGACCAGCTAGTAGGTCTTGTGGTTATAACTGACTGAACAAGCTTGTGGCAAGAAGGATGGTGAGAAGTTTATAATGAAGAGATTTTGGACAATTGTATCAATAGGCCCCAGTGATTAATGTTGTGGTGAGGGGTGTGAGATACAGGGGGAAAAGTGAGGATGCTTTATAAACTGCCAACATAAGCAATTAAAATAGAGGAGGTAAAATTATGGATTAAGAAACACTAGTTGAAGACCACATTTTGGGTTTGCTTTTGACCACAATGAATTTGATCTGCTTGGGAGATATTTAAGCTTTTACATGCATGTTGTAAGATATATACTATTGAACATAATAATAATTAATTTTTATACTAAAGGTACTTATAATGAATACTGTTATAATAATAATTTAAAGGTAGATGGTTTTATTTAATTAGATGTATGAAAAAGACATTTTAAAAAGGAATTAGAATGGACGTGAACTGGTATTTTTGATAAAGTTAACAACTTTGACCAAGAAACTAACCAAAGGTAAATGATGACAAAAATAAAATTTCTTCTCATTTCCAGATGAAAACAAGAAGCTGATGGAAGACACATTCTGAACTGGCTAACACAACACTCTGAAACTGGAGGATATCAACTGATAAGGTATTAAGTTCTTCCTCAGTTTCAAATACACTGGGCTCATAAATTATTAACATAAACAATGGATGCCTCATCAAATTACCAGGAAGATAGCTAGATGTGTACCCCTCTACAAGTGCCGACCCCTCCAAGCACATCTTTCACCTGGAACTGTGAACTGAATAGATAAATGTGTTGGTTAAAAAGGTCTTTACATCTTTGAATTGTAATGATCATGATTAGTTGCTGAGCTTGCCACCTCCCTGCCCTCTACCTTCCAAGAGTTATCATTACAAAGATAGCCATTTGGCTTCTGGCATAAGCTTTATCATAAAGCTTGAGCCAGATTGAAGGATCCAGACGATTTCTTGTTTTCTTCTTTTTTTTTTTTTTTAGTTTTTTGTTTGTTTTGTTTTATTTTGTTTTCTGTTTTCTTTCTTTCCTTCTTTCTTTCTTTCTTTTTCTTTCT